AGGCTTCCGTAAGTTTCCCGTTGTGGATTACTTGGCATGCAGCATTGTCGTATAACTGTTGGATGAGATGTATAATTGTCGATGGGACCCCGTAGTAGCGAAGTAGTTGCCAAATGACCTCTCGATCGACGCTGTCGAAGGCCTTTTCAAAGTCGATGAAGTTGAGATAGAGAGGCGACCGCCATTCCAAGCTTTGTTCAATGATGATTCGTAAAGTGGCGATTTGATCAATACATGATTTGTTTCTCCTGAATCCAGCCTGTTCCGGACGAAGTTTTCCATCCAGGTTGGAGTGCTTGATTCTCTCCAGGATGATGCGGCTTAGTGCTTTGCTTGGAATGGACAGGAGCATAATTCCACGCCAGTTTTTACATTGACTTAAATCTCCTTTCTTTGGTAGTTTGAATAAGTATCCGTTCTTCCAATCCTCGGGTACTTTGCCCTCTTTCCACACCTTCTCCAGTAGTGGTGTCTTCAAGTTCGCTGTTGTCTCTGGGTCTATTTTCCGAGCTTCTGCTGGGATTCCATCTGGTCCTGGTGCTTTCCTAGCTTTTAGCATCTTGATTGTATTCAGGACTTCTGATTTCGTCGGGGGGTCAGTGTTCACTGGTAGTTCTGCTCCCGTTGTTGGTATTGTTGGGCGCGTTGTAGGTGGCGGACGATTTAGAAGTCTTTTGAAGTGTTCAGCCCAGTATTTCCTTTGTTCCACCTCTTTGGTGATTGACTTTCCATTGTCGTCCTTTATTGGCTTAATCTGTGTCGAACTTTTGCCCGAAAGGTGTCTAGTTGTTTGGTAGAGTGTGGCGAGGTCTCCTTTGCCTGCAGCTTGTTCCGCTCCACTTGTCATGGTTTCATAATATTTTCTTTTGTCTTCCCTGGCACTCTTATTCACTCTTTTGTTCAGTGTATTGTAGCTTGCATTCAGCTCCTGTTTTTGTTGCTCGTCAGTGCACTGGATAATCTTTTGTTTCACTGTCCTTCTCTCTTCTATTAGTTTCCAAGTGTCCGTAGTGAGCCACTGTTTGTCCTGTCTCTTTTTTCTGCCTAGAATTTCTATGCAGGTTTGACTCCACACCGTTTTCAAGTTGTTCCAGTGCTTTTCGACGCCGACCTTTTCGCTGGTGTTGATTTGTGTCTCGGCTTTGTCCTTTATGCTTGCAATGAAGATGTCCTTTGTAGCCTGGTCCTTCAGCTTTTGAGTGTTGAACTTGGCTTGTGGTCTGTCTGCAGCTCCTCCTTCTCTGAAAGCTTTTAATTTGATTTGGATTGTCCCTTGTACGAGATAGTGGTCTGAGCCAACGTCTGCTCCTCTTCTTGCTTTTGTGTCCAGTAGGCTGCGCCTCCACTTCCTTGAGCAGATTGAGATGAAGTCAGTTTGGTTTTTGGTTCTCCCATCTGGTGACACCCATGTAGCCTTGTGTATATCTTTGTGCTTGTATACGCTGTCACCAATCACTAGTTCGTTGAAGGCGCAGAAGTCAGCGAAGAGTTCTCCATTTTCATTCATTTCTCCGAGAGCTTCTCTACCCATGATGAGTTCCCTTCCTGTGTTGTCTGGTCCTAGCTTGGTGTTCATGTCTCCCATTAGTATTTTCATGTCGCCAGCTGGAGTATTGTCCATTGTTGCCCGTAATTGTCTGTAGAATTCTTCTTTCTTTTCGGGGTCTGCTTTGTTTGTGGGTGCTATAGTGTTTGTACACATGTATTTTAACAAAATTAGACAAATTTTGAAAGTCTGAGGTCAAAATATTTTTGATCATAATTCATACAACTTTTGTTTTGTTTTGTTTAATATGCCTATTGATTGATATTTTAAAATGAGAGATGTATTTTTATATAAACATACAATTCTATTTATTTATTTATTGTACATATTGGTCCCTGTTGCATGACTCATGATTGGACAAAATTTTAAAAAACAAGAGGTGTCCCTTTATATATAAACCCTTGTTATGTTAATTTCGATTAATTTCCCTGAAGAATTTCGGACCAGATTGCCGAACGAAACGTTGGAATTAATCATTTTTAATTTCGCTGAGATTTTACAAATATAACTTTATAAATGTCTACTTCTCACTCAGCGCTCAATTATTTTGTAACTATCCGGTCAAATCTTGATGACAGGTCGTATGAATTATGTAAAATTTATTCCTACACCAACAGAAGCTCCTTATATGCATTCATTTTTCATTTTTATCTAAAATGTCTTCTTTTCACAACAAACTGCAGTTTTGCCTTGTCTCGTCATGCCTCTACTCTGTATGACATGATTTGATACTAAAATTGCAATGCATGGTGATCTCCTGGATAAAATCTTCTTAGTCCTTTTTGAAAATATCACTTATGATTTGTAGGGTACAATTTTCATGCAGAGGCATCTTCAATGTAGCTTTAAGATCACTGAGATTTCTACTACAGGTAAAAGCACCAGTTTGGAGAAAAATATCAGGCTAATATCAATAACATTTGTCAAATATATATATAAACACGTAGTGTAACGAAGAGTCTGTTTTCGGCGAATTCATTTTTCACAGCTGTACAATCACAAATATATATGAGTTATTTTGTATGCATGTATACATTAAGTTTGTCAAACAAAAATACAATCGGTTATGGTTATTTTAAGTAAACAGTTGAAAATTAGTAAGTTTTGGAGTGGAGTTACGTAATATAAAAACGTTCAAGAAAATTGGGTGGTAATGAAACTAGGGTAGTAACAAAGGTGATGAGTTGTCACAAACAATTGTTAAAAAGAATTTACTAGAGCTGCTGTGAAGCCACGTACAGCAGCTCCAGTCGCTCACTGATCTGCGGAAGCCTTAGGGACAAAATCCCGCATCTGACCACTTCTATGTGCATATATCAGTTCACCTGCTGCTGTGGAGCCAGGTATATCGGTCGTCCGATGCGTATCCAGCATGGTTGCGAAAAGGCAATAGTGGTGCTATTAGGAGTGCGATAATTGGACACCTGGTTAACACTGATCATTCCATCTTAACAAACGCCTCCGGCTTCAAAGTAATGTACAGAGTAAAGAACAACCTACCAATGGCTATCCGGTCTCGTCTTCTTTGTATCGCTGAAGCTCTCCAGGCCATTCACATAGAAAAGCCAGACCTGTGCGTACAGAAGTGAATTGCGCAACCACTTCTACCATCATGGTAACAAGTTTGTTGATTTTTATGACTTAATTTTGCTTGTTTGCCTGTTTCTTTAATTGTTTATAATTCTTGTATCCATTTGGAACCATTACCTAATTTGATATTCTCTACTTTGTTCCTATGTGTAACCTGAGTACAACTTAATCATCAAACTATTCATATTATTATGTAACTCCTTTTTAACAACTGTTTGTCATAACTCATCACTTTTGTTACTACACTAGTTTCATTAACACCCAATTTTCTCGACAGTTTTTGTATGAAGCAACTCTACCCAAAACTTGCTGATTTTCGCCTGTTCAAATGGTGGATGGTGACTAGCAGTGGAATCCAGGATGCGCATTTCGTCCTATTTGGGACTCGTCATCTGGATGTACATGCATTCCTCACTGAATGATGATGTTCCCACCGAGGCTCGAACCCAGTACCCATAGTTTCAAATGCCAATGCGTTATCCACTAGACCACTTGGACCACGAGAACCACCTCTGAGACCGAGCACTTCGGTCCAATCAATGGACGGGAAAATCTAAAAGAAATTCAATTCAGTAATTAATATGACCCGTTGCACAAGAGGTGACTCTGGTGGTCCAAGTGGTCTAGTGGATAACGCTTTGGCGTTTGAAACTATGGGTACTGGGTTCTAGCCTGGATGGGAACATCATCATTCGCTGCGGACTGCAGGTACACCCAGATGACGAGTCCCAAATAGGACGAAATTTGCACCCTGGATTTCACTGCTAGTCACCATCCACCAATTAAATTTTAATTACATGCCCAGAAATCGTCGAAGCATCTGCACAAAAAGCCGGCATGTCAGCCTCAGACCGACCACTTCAGTCCAATCAGTCGACGGGAAAATCTGAAAAAAAAAATTCAATTTCACCCTTTTAGTTAAAATAATCATAACAAATTGTATTTTGTCTGACAAACTTAATGTACACATGCATACGAAATAACTCATATATATACAATTGGTGGATGGTGACTAGCAGTGGAATCCAGGATGCACATTTCGTCCTATTTGGGACTCGTCAGCTGGATGTACCCGCATTTCTCAGTGAGTGATGATGTTCCCACTGAGGCTCGAACCCAGTGCCCATAGTTTCAAACGCCAAAGAGTTAGTCACTAGACCACTTGGGCCACGACAGCCACCTCTTGTGCAACGGGTCATAATAATTATTGAATTGAATTTTTGATTTTCCCGTCGATTGATTGGACCGAAGTGTTCGTTCTCAGGTTGACATGTACAGCTGAGAATATATATGTTCACTGAATTTAGGGGTACTCTGTAGTGAAATAAAGTTGACGGTTGTTGTAAGTTGGGATATGTCCAAAAGCCATTGTAAATAAGACTATTATGTGATTTACTTTAATTCCTTACCACAAATACAAAACCCATCATACTATTCGCTAATAAATATTAAGCCTTTTTTAATCACACTTAATATCTATCAAACAAATATCATGGAGAAGATTTGTAACTTAGGTGGATGATTTTGATGTGGTTGTGTTCTCTAAGCTGGCTAGTTAATTTGCGAAGCTTTCATCTCCCTACTAGGCGACATCTTCAGTGCACACTTCACTTTGAAGTGAACTTTTACATTTCTCCACGAGTTTATTAATCATCCAGCTCATAGAACACAACCACATCAAAAGCAAATATCAAGTAGTTCATGGTTTCAGTTATATTTATTATATGGCTTGGATAATGTTGTGAAAAAAGGTTGACTGGTGTCTCCAAATAAAGTCTGCTGACTGAGTTGGATTCTTTGTATATAAATTATATGACTTACATTCAAACTTAAGTGTTATCTTATTACTTATATTCTGTTACAGAAATGTGAGAAACTAAAGCAGCAGTTACAAGAGAAAACTAATCGTCTTACATTAACTAGACGAGAATGTCATCGTCGACGTTTATTGCTTATGGCACAACAAGAACTTATGGATTCCGGTCCTCAGTCATTGCACAAGTGTATGTACTGTCCAAAAGCTTTTGTGAACGCTTCATTTTTGGCTACACACATTCATCGCAGACATCCAGAAACTGAGATGCCGCATGTAAATGTACCATACTCCACAGCACATATGACAGGTACGGTAACCGATGATATGCCTTATCCTCACACACAACATCTACCCTGCTGCGGAGCAATGCATCCATCAAAAATGTCTCCAAGACAAATGCCCCAACAGACAGAATGTCATTACACGACAAATAATAATATGGTAGGTAAATAAAGTGATTAAATGCTTTTTGAGGTTATGAATTATGAAGTTAAGTGTATTTAAAAGACGGGTGAAAAAACAATGAACAACTGAAATCTTAATAGAATAAATAAGAATTCTTCGGCAGTTTTGGAGTTTTATAACAACAAATTAAATTACTGAACGGTGAAGTACTCCGACGAGCATCATGAGACGATTAAACACAAATAAGTCTAAAACATTCTATTATCTATTGTTTCTTTCAATGCTGATACTAGACAATCAACACAAAGTTGTTATGATAATAGGAAGTGAGAGATATGAGAGTTTTAGTTAAGATAATTGCGATGCCAAAGGGATTTTATTCCCCAATAGATTGGGAAATTTGCTATTTTCTTTGGTATTTGTTGTATATTAGGTATATAAACTGCTATAGAAGTAGAGTCATGATAATGTGCTTGATGACTTAAATCAACTGAAATAACACACTTAAGCACAAACCAACTACATTTTTATGCTGTATATTCTACAGAGGGTTACAAATTAAGTCAGTCGCGGTTAAGTACAATTCGCATACTTGGTAAACGGACATATGTCACGGTGAGAGTTTCATAGTTAAAGACCTAAGACAGTTTGTGACGAACTTAAAAAGAATGTGTTACCGTCGTACTGTAACAGAAGACGACGAAAGACTTGGTCAAGGAATGTTTATTTCGAATTTGGTATATCTCTCTCTCTCTCTCTCTCTCTCTCTTATATATATATATATATATATATATATATATATATATATATATATATATATATAGGGAAGTTATGTACATCTTATTTACAAGGCACAATTTGCACAGATCTTCGTGTTGTGGTACTTCATAATGTGTTTCTTTGTATTCCTTTCACGTCTCCCATTTATCTTCACAACGCTATACCATTTGCCTTCTCTGACACCAAATGTATCTCATTGCTATTTGATGTTTTTATACCGATGAACCTCTTCTCATATACTACTGACGTGTCTGTAAAGTTTCATAAACTCAGTTTGATTAAATTTCCTCTACTTTTCAAGCTGATTCGCAGACTTACTTAACATAGTATGAAGTTATGAGTACTTCCTTGAAGCAGCGGTACTTACAAAAAACCTGCAGTCAGCTGCGGACCACTGTAGGGTATGACAGGATGCGCCCTTTCTACAGCTAACCTTTACTGACCCCTTCTCTTCAAAAAAGGAAGGTAACATGACTGTAGTACAGGTGTGGTTTTATGAGAACACTAGGCTGTTGTCAAACCATATTCAACCATATATTCAGACCGACAACTTAGTATGAACAGTTTAATTTGTTACCGTAGGATTATCGCTACCTTAATGACCTTTCTGGTCAAAAAGTGGGATTGTCAGGAACAGTTGCTCTAGAGGTATGGTTTTTCGAGTTATCCCTATATGCAAGTTTGCTAGAGGTGCCAAGGTATTAGTTATCGCTCACCATATGACTATCAGTTATATACGGGGGATTATTGCGTTTCTGAAGAATAGCCGGTATATATATATATATATATATATATATATATATATATATATACAACGTGGTTGCTTTATTCAAATAAGTATATGTAAGCTGACTTTTCTTTCTCCACTTTTTTCTGTGTTATTTTGTGTAAGCATAAATCATGAATTTATTTTTTTCTCTTTAAGAGTGCCTCTTTAGAACGTGATGTAAGAGCACTATTAGAACAACTGAAATCTGTTACTCCAAGTCTTCCAAATCGTTCTAACTCACCAGTGAAATCAATCGGATTTGACGTTGACATTGCCACAAAGGGAACTAATGAATCAGATTGGCATACACAATTATTAGAAGAGCACAGAGTAAGCATTATCTTTCCTATTTTTTTTCCCATCCTATTTCTTTTCCCTATCAAACAGACGCAGCCATAAATACTTGGATAATTTAACCGTTTATGACGCTATTCAAAATTATCCAGTGAATGATATTCTGCTTAGGCATCAGTCACTAGCAAGAAAAGTAGAAATATTTAAAACTCTAAGTGTGCAGTCACTGAATTCGACACTTACTCTCTTTAGGAAAACTGCTTGTGAATTGTCAAAAATTGGACTGATAGATAGTATTAGACCATTTCGCTAAATCATTAAAAAGACAAAGGATCATGTGTGAACTAGTATTTGGACACATTTATTCTGATGTATTTGAAAAGACTAGCAATATGTCTTATATTATTATTGACCCGAAAATTGTTGAGTGACTTTTTTATGCCACATCACTTTCAAATGCTTTTAATATAACATCATCGCCATTCTTTTAGAATGTTAATGTGATACGATATGAAGTGTACGGCCTGAGATAATCAATCATGTGTAAGGTAGGTCTACCTAAGAAGTCGCTGTCGTACTCCAGAGGTCTACGGATTAATACCTTCATGTTTGAGACAACTGCCACTCTATTTGAATTTCAGCGGGAATACCACTACTCACTTGGCATTCAGATAATACCCAGGTGACGGCCTCCAGAAAGGATAAACTGAGAATCCAAAATTACACGAGTGACTCAAATCAATTTAATAATTTGATAGTTCCTTATTACTAAATATTTAAATGCTTACTGTGTATTCTAAAATAAACAGTAAAATTATTTGCATAAATCAAAAACACTATGAATATACTGAAACGTTTAGTTCAGCAAATCTCACTTTTTATGTGAATAAAGTTACTGTTTTTGGAAGATTAGCTTGTTGGACACATTTCAACTTGTATATGGTGTATTGCTTGTATTTATCAACATTTATCATTTGTGTATTTAACCAGTGGAAACAAATTCAAATTTTCCGGTGTCTCTCTTCCCACTTAGATAGCTGGGCTAAAGCACCTGGTGGGTTACCCCTTTTAATGAAGTTAAAGCTCGCCAGCTGTTATATATATATATATATATATATATATATATATATATATATAGGCTTATATGAAGTGCTGGTCAGCCGTGATCGAAGTGTTTCAAGATAACAAAATAAGCATAATGAATTGACATCGGTTAGACGACCATTGGAAAATCCCCACTGGAGTACTGGACAGCTGTTTCACTCCAGTCTGGGACTTTTCAGTAGTACGCACGCACTGGGGTTCGAACACTGGACCCACTGGTACGAGGTGAACTCGTAGACCATTAAGCCACCGGGCCTCTGTCCAGTGGTCCATGAATCCCATCTTCTTTTGCCCAGTAACTTAGTGGTCTACGAGATCCCGGGTTTGGACCCAGGTGAGTGTGTACTCCTGAAGAGTTCCAAACTGGGGGGGGGGAGAAAGCTGTCTAGTTTTCCAATAGTCCTCTGACCGATTTTAGTTCATGATGAAATCCTGAAACCAATCAAATCCATACAAACTAACACTTGAAAATAACCATTCATGAGATTCAATATTTCTCTTTAATGGTAGACAAATTAATTGAATTTTGAATATTTTTCACTGACATAAGTTAGTTTTATTCCAACGTTTATGATTTTAGATAACTTTGAATTTTATATTCAAGGCGTTCACTTTGAACTCTTCTTTTTGAAATGCAGTAAATGTCATGTTTTCTTTAGTTTTCTCTGTGTCGTATGTTGTTTTTTGACGTCTTAAATTATAGGCCGTCTTTATAGCATCATACATTTCATTTTACCAGTAAATAATTTCGAGAAATTCTGTTGAATAATCAGACTGGGTCATCAGCAGGAACAGTGAACACTCATCAATCTTGAATTTAGTTCATTCAAAATTGAATTTTTTTATTTCTTATTCCTTTCCATTCCCAGTGGAACGTACGGCTTCAAGCTAGAGGCTTGAAGTTTCTGTAGCAGTGGTGTTTATTTTTATGGGGTGGGGTTGCTAGCCTCATGCCTAACCTTCCCTCTTTACCAGTCTTATTGCTGGCTTAGCAAGGTAAAGGAATGCGTCGGCCGGGGATCTAACTCCAAATCACATGCGTGGTTGGCAAGCATTTTACCGCTATGCCACCAACGCACTCAAAATTGATTAAAGAAAACCATTCGAAGTTTCAAAAGATTGATTATTGAACAAAGAATATTCTTTCGATAACTCCATCATCATGTATATATATATATACATATAACTGTAGGACCGAATGATGAAGCTATCGAAAAGAATATTCTCTATTCAACAATCATTCAAAACTACTAATGCATAAAATTAAGTTTTGAGTATTACTGTTACCTAACATTTCAACAGGATATCTGAAATACACATACGTGAGATAGAAATTATCCATAATTAAGGAAACAGTAGCAGTCAAAAGTGAACACTTTATCAATATGTTAATTCATTACATTACCGTAATAATTTATGAAAAAAAAAACATTTTCTATAACGTTAGACATTTTAAGTGTTTCGGCAAAACACATCAACTGTAATTCAAAAAATCAAAACACCTTTTGCCGTATAAGCCACACTTTTACAGGAGTCACTCGGACTTTATTAAACACTGAAATTTACAATCGTATAGTACATGAAATAATGTGAACTTGTATGAAGATGACTTATAGGTAGACCTGAGTGGTATCATTTCTTTACAACCGCTTTACAACTAACATGGTTAACAATGATAAAATAAAGTTCATGACAATTACTCAGTTAAATAAAAAACAAAACTACATACTAATGAACAATCATAATTTAAATTGGTCATGTAGTCCATGGTAGGCGAAGATTGAAGTCTAATGTTTTTTGTACACACAGTTTAGGCTGTATGTGATTAATCCAAAGTACTTCGATCACCTTCAATAAGCTTGAAATAGAGTTACGTGAAATAATTATGAAACAGACATTAACAGCATTGGTTTTGTGACCTGACATTAATAAGTGTTTTGCAATGGATGATGCTGAATTTCTATTCAGATTAATCGCATTGGGATTTTCGATATGATTTAGTAACCATTTTGGAACATGTTCTTTTGGACAATATTGGAACATTCTATTGGTTCTACCTATGTAGGTGTCACCGCAGCTGCAGGTGAACTTGTAGATACAGTTTGAAGTAGAGTCCACAGAATTTCGTCCTTTAATCGTAGATACTGGGATAGAAAATGTTTGGCATGTGAGAGGAAGAGATGCGGCGTAGAATGTGCGTTTGATGGCTGACTGAAGTCTTTGAGCTGTCAACTGCATAATCTGGTCACCCTCGAATGGATAGCTTTCTTTGGTAGAGAAGCCGTCTTTTCGAGATGTCGTCTTTCTTTACTGTGACAAGTGATAAAGTTTTTCGGATAACCCTTAGGTAATAAAACTGAATGTATATGTCGAAACTCATCCATCACTGTGTCACTCGTGCATGTTTTTCGGGCCCTTGAGGACAAACATTTCACTCAATAGGAAACGTTTATACTGAATAGGAACAAAACTGGTGAAATGAAGATATTGTCTACTCTATGTCTGCTTACGAAAAATAGATCACTGAATCGTTCCATCATTTCTCCTGGTAGATATTTTTGTGTCACCAGTTATTATATATATTTACACCTGTTGCTGTCGGATTGTCATCCGAAAATGTGCGCGCACACACACGTATTTTATCCTATGCATATTATTTGTTGATAATCATAGTTAACGGGGAGTAGTTTGCTTATTCTGTCTGGCTGACTATAAAATCACTTCTCTCCGTTAAACTAAAATACTTGAGAACAGTTCACACTTCCACAGTTATTCTTTTACATTTTTCATGTAAAAACTTTGTATTTATGATTTAAATAAGTTGAATGAACGGCAAATACTAACTAAGCGTACCATTAGATTAAAATATGTAGTTAAATCTCAGTGTTTTACCACGCTTCATTTATAAGTTTTCACACTTCTCAGAGTAGAATACTGACTGACTGACTGACCAGGATACATTTCAGATTTTTGTAAAGAAGTGCAGCAGTTCAGCTTGCTGCATTCCACATGGCACATGAAGTCGAGAAAAAGAAAAAAAACCCAGAAGAACTTTGATAGACAATGCACCAGAGAAAGATTTATTACTTGGGAAAACACGAGAACTTAACTGATCTGGAAGATTGCAAAGAGTAAATGCATCCGCGCCACTGAGAATGATTTTGAAACAGTCTCCAGCCAGTAGGTCTCATTGTCTCGGGGTCCACAACCAAGTTCAAACCTACGTACATAACTTAAATTAACCGTCAAACACTTTATGGATTGATATCATGTTTTGATTTCACCATGAAGAACACTATTCAGCCTAATCCTATCTCTGCTGGACGAGGAAGTCAATGACCTGACATTGATCTGCCTACACCACTTACCTGACGCAGGAGATATAACGCAGATATCTGTGGTCAAAGCCAACTAGCCTCTTCGAATCTTCTAATTTAAACTTCAACGCTTTACAGCCATAGAGGAAGATGGAGCGAAATGTTGAGCAGTACACACTTCCACTGTTCGATAGTCATAAGTCACGCCTACGTCATAAGTGACGAAAGTTGGTGAATACAGTATTTAAGAGGAGCAAACCTGGGAAAGCAGTTCAGGCTTTAAGCCAGAAATAGAGTGTATTGATCATATCTTTGGCTTTCAACAGATTTTAGAACATAGACATACCGGTATCCAACGTTTGCCGAATTTTTGGGCCTGAATGCGATGCTGGACTCCAGAGACCGATAGGTGTTGCAGACACGGATTTATGTAATAGTTGTACTTTGTGATGATCTGTATCGATAACTGATTTACTCTTTTCTTATTTATTCATTTCAGCGTGATATAGAAGCAATGAAAAGAGGATTTGAAAAAGAATTACATGCATTGCAAATTCAATATAATCAAACTCAGGAAGAACTATATAAACTTAAATGTAGACCAGGTAATATGCACACAAAGTTATGCTGAACAGTCGATGATATTCGTTTTTAAATTCTCTAAGTTATTTGTTTAACTTTTAAATAATAAAAATTAAACGAAAACTGAAAATATAAAGCATATTTATAGGTGTTTAAGTTAAGTTTAGGTTTAATTAACAATTTAAAATGTCTTTTTACCGGCGAATAAAAACGATTTGTTTTCTTTCACATTTTCCTATTTAACCGCTAATCACTTTATAAGAGTAACAACAAACTAGAAATTTCCGATAACCAGTCTTTATATATGGTAACTCGATCAAAAGTTTACCTTGTGGATACTTCCACACCACATCAGAAAAAAGTTTGTAACAGTGTGCACATTATAACATAATCGGAGGCGATATGCAGGAAACTCTTGACCTCGGTTTCGCGTCTTTCGACACTTGTCAGCCAGTAAGGAGTATCTGCAACGTTGAAGGAAGTGATGGTCTGTCGAGCCCGCGTCAATCAACACTTGAGTCAGATACGTTACCACTCAGCTATTTTGGAATGCTTCAGTAACTGATCAGTGTAAGCACTACAGTACTACAGGAAGTCAGTAACGTCTTTAACTGCAGCAGTGTATAACGCACTTTCGAGTCACCAAATTGCATATACGCCTTACTTATGGGTATCGACAAATACGAAACTTAGGTCTATGACTAGACTTATAATCACAGTCACATCCCAGTGACAAGTCAGTGTAAAATGTGCATATTATGTGTTGGGCGTTCATGAAATGTTGATTAAGTTCTCTCTGTGTACATTTGGATGTTATTCACAAGCTTTCTGAAATAAATCGGCTGTCAGTCAGTGTTCTTACATGGATACATTTTTGTAAGACTCTCTATGCAATTTCATTTATAAGATAAAATGCTTGAACTGCTTGACTGTATCAGTGAGGAAAAGTTCTTATGAAATGAACGTCGAAACTAATGAACATCTTAGAGAATTCATATCAATTTTAAGGAATACAAAAGAACACAAAATGCTTGAAAGATTCTCAGATATAGCTGTGCATACCTTTCCAGATCAGTATATAAAATATAAATGGATTTTCTTGAATAGAGATGAGGGTATGAAATGCACTGTGATTGTTTTAATCCATCTATTTTTCCTACATGAATGCAATAATAATTTAACTTAATAAATGCACATTTACAATTTATGCAGTTATTACACACATGATCGTGTATCATTATCTTTTCCGATCACTGATGAGTGCATACAGTCAAAGTAAACCTACTTATCGTTCAGAGTCAACATTTTTATGCTTGACTCTGAAACACTTACAAGATGTTGGCTCAGCCTGTTGTCCAGATAGTTGTAGACGTTCATCTTCACACTAAAAACATAATATTCGGCAAGCAGACTCTTCACTAAATTTATCATCTAGCTGTGCAACCATATATACCTGATTTATAAGAAACAACACTTCGTTGGGGATAGTGAAATGTGAAAATGAAGCAAATAATTTCACACACAAAACTGTTCAGAGAATGTATGGAGCTTGAAAAGGGGTGTCAAATTGAAAGGATTAGTAAGATCAATAAAAATTCTGATATAATGGATTTTAACAATACAAAAACTGTATTGATTTAAAATAATAAATAGGACAGGTGAAATAATACCGGAAACTATTCAATGTAAAAATAAAAGTTACACTAGTAACAGTAAGAGAAAGGTAAAACAGATTAAATCAACTAAATCAAAATAAATGTTTATCCAGCCTTTCTATTATACTACCAAGGTTGAAATACGCACTCCACCTACTTCTTTTGTACTCAGCAGCCTGATTTGAATTCATGAATACCCAGTGCCTGTGCTGTCTTAAAAAAATGCAGCAAGTTAAAGACAATTTAATAGATGATTTTAAAATCATAGTCTGGGTTGACTGAGTGACGAAAGTCAATTAAGGGTTCTAGAATAGAGCTGTAACAACAGAAGGCAAGACACAGAAGCCAAAGTATGTTTTTCAGTAATCAAACCGCTGGCGTAGGCTTGACATCCGGTTATCAACCAAGGGACGTGTGTACTGCTCAACAGTTCGCTCCGTCCTTCTCTATGGCTCTGAAACATGGCCAATACGCGTTGAAGACATGAAAAGGTTGACTGCTTTCGATCATAGATGTCTGCGATCTCTGTCTCACGTTAGGTGGTTTAATAAGGTAAGTAATGTTGACGTTAGGCGTAGAGTGTTGGGCAAAGAGGGAAAATCAATCGACGAGGCTATAAAGTTACATAGACTAAGATGGCTAGGTCACGTGCTGCGCATGCCTAACCACCGCCTCCCCCGACGGGCATTGCTAGCTGATATAGGTGAAGGTTGGAAAAGAGCCAGTGGTGGCCAAACAAAAACATGGCCTCATCAATCCATGAAATCCTTGACAGTTAAACTGAGTCAGGTAGGGAGATGCAGACTCCCGGGTTGGGGCCCTCGGGACTCTAGGAATCAATGTCTGGAGACACTATGTGACATGGCTCAAAATCGTTGTCAGTGGTCAGCGCAGATGTATCCAGTCTCTGTAATCTTTCATATTCCTTTCTACCATTACCCATTCTGTTTCACTATTATACTTGTCAGACTGTATTGATTCTCTTCGCTCATCCTCTTGTCTACCTCTGTGTGCTATTTGTAACGTGGCAACTCGAACTGATGCACTTCGGTGCCAAGTTCTATGTTGAATCCAGACAGAGACAGACAGACAGACAGAATCAAACCGCTGGTTATATATCTACAGTTAATATATTCGTTAGCCAATCACTGACCGTGTGATTTTGGTTTACATCAAATAGAATGTTCAAATATGCATAGTATTCTTTTGTTAATGCAGTATACAACCATGGGAAATGTATTTTGTCTAGCATTAAATAGAATGTTCAAATGGATATATTGTATGTGGGATTGAACTGAGGGAATATGTGAGCATAATATTCCCTTGGCAGACATTGTATGTATCACACTACCTTAGAGCTACTTACACCTTTATTGTTCCCTTGTACGGACATGGAGGTGGCTAAACAAGGAAGGTTATCTTCAACTCCAAATAGAACACTGTCAGTGTTTTTAACAACGTCCTTCTGAGCTTTGGTAGGGAAGTTACAGAATAGAAAATGAATACAAATCTATACCTTATAGTTTCAGAAGTGAAACTCACAGTCAGAAAGTGGTTTTGAAAGGAGTATAATAAAACTAATCACCTCATATAAGTGACTCTAAATCAGTAAATTTGTACTGCAACATAAATATATTTCAGAACAGTTTTTTTTTGTAAAAAACGACATTGTATTTGAATTAAAATCTAATCGCTGATTTTACATTTTTACCAATCAATATTTAGTGTTCACCGATATTTCTATTATATTTTCTTATATTATAAGCGACTTCAAATTTGGGAGAACTGGAAAATGATGTGTCTGGTGTAAGTTATTTCTCATATATTTTTTCTTTCAAATGAAACACTGTTTCGCTGTTCGTGTGATTAATGTTCATATCTTGGTTGTGTGTATTCTTCGCCGATTAATATATGATTATTGGGACAAAACGGTGCTATAAGGTCGAATGCTATTCATAAATGTATATGCGTATACATGTATATAAAATCAGGAATTATATTATTATTGTTCCCTTGGGTACCGAGTGGAACATAGGGCTGCAACAGTACACTTCCACTTTTGTTTCATTTTCTGTTATCCTCTATAGCCGGGCGTATGATCTTCCATAGTCTCTCATCTCCTCCTGACACGATCTTCTCAATATCACCCTTGGATGACCCACTCGTTGTATTTGATTCGGGTTCCACTAGAGGGCTTGGTAATCTGTGTCATTCGACAGTCTCCTCAGCATTGAGCGATAGGTTCTTAGTTGGTTTGTTCTCGGAGTTTCTTGTTGCTATTTGTTTCCAACCAGCCATCTGATCTCCACTATGAATCTGTGAAGGCAGCTGTTGACAAAATGTTTTATTTCTTGGGAACTTTTAACCTCAAGATAAAAAAAAGAGCCTTTCTTAACCAGCCGTCTAAGCACATTCGCATGCTAATCTGTTGCAAAGTATGCTTTTGAAACAACGGTTTATTTTTAAATGTTTCACGAGAACACTTGAGTCGTGTCAGTGTTAAATTTACGATGAGTCTAGAAAGTATTACTATACCTATAATTTCATTTTTTATATTGTGACACAATTTGTTTTAATATGCTATGACGAAAATACAGATATTTCTTGAAGCTGGCAAATTTCTTATCTTATTTAATAAATCAGTCCGTTACCTCAGAAATGTCGAAATTAAATTAAAGTATGATCATTTAATTATTACTTTAATGTAAACTGTAACGATACACGACTGACTTGTTATAAATGTAGTTGTAAGCCTGCTATCAGTGTTTCAGTTCACAGAAATTTCACAGAATTAATATGTATTGTTTGATGAATGAAGTGCATGAGTTCAGGTCGTTAGACTTTCAAACAAAAGTAGAGGAAATACAGTGAATGATAATGAACTTGAAGAGGGAATAGGTAAATGAGGATTAGTGAAGACTTTCATGATCAGTAAGATAGTATGGAGTGAATAAATTGACTGTGGCTGATTCTGAGAAGGCTCAATAAGCGTCTGCAACCACTAATCCTTAATATTCTGAGAACCTAGGCCAGGAAATCTTCATCTGTCTACCTGGGACTTCAGCAATAGGCAGTGATTTTATATGTATGAATTTTGTCTTTAATTCTTTTTTAATTAATTAATTCCACTTTAGCCAAGATTAGTCTAAGTTTAGGCTGTCTGTGGTACGGCATGCTGCAGTATATATATATATATATATATATATATATATATATATATATATCCATGGTGCACATGATAATCATATTTATGCTTCGATTCTTTTCTGTCCGACACTCTCGACTTTTAAAGACGAAGATTACGTTAAAATTAGTCAAAAGATTTACTGTGATTCTGCATGAACGAAAGTTTTTGAATAGTTTTTGTAACTGGCTTCAGTTATATATTAAAGTTATAAGTTAAGAGATAAAATTTATGTTAAGGTGTAATTTTAGATTGATTTTAGTCCACTTTAACATCTGAAAAATTGGATCGTTTTAACCGAAATAAATCAGGGGAAACGTAACTGTTTCGTAATGAAAGAAACAAAATCCTATATTTTAGATTTCTTATCACTTAGTTTATTACTATTATTCTTTCTGGTTCCCAGTGAAATATAGACCTTCAACAGGAAATGTTCATTTCACTGTGTTCTGGGAAGTCTTTTGTAGCTAGCTCCACAACTGTCCATGAGCTTTCATTCCCTTCCTACACTATCTCTTGCATGTCATCCTGGAGGGATTCCTAATTCATCGCCAGCTTTCCATTCAGGTTCCATTGAAGGGCCGGGCTCTTGGTGTCACTGAATAACCTCCCCATTGTGTTTTCATTTCCTCCTGCATATTGTTTGGGCTACAGGTTCTGGATTGGTTGGCTACTAGAGCTCCTTACTGCTCATAGTTTCTGGCCGTCTAATCTTCAGTATAGAGCCGACGATAGGAGCTAATGATGCAAGTCACCAGCAGGCAGTTGGAAGTGCTTTCTGTGAAGCGTAAGTCAAGCCTATGAACAATATAAAAATACTGACTTGACATTAGGGTTGAAGTTCTGTATCTTGTTCTTCATACTGGGTGCTGTAGATTTTCACAGTGATTTCGCAGCAAAGAAGGTCTTTTCTTCTTTATTCACTCTTGCCTTTTGCATCCCCATCTGCGTCGCGTTCAATAAATGTAATAACCTATTTCACCTATGCAGTGTGATTCTTTTGGAATCATAGTGGAATATAGGGCTGTGAGCTTTTCGAAGTTTAACTAGTGGCGGTGGGGTTACACACCGCACTCCCAACCATCTCTATATTTCCTGCTTATCATCAGCCAGTAAATTCTAGTGACGTTTCGGATCACGTCCGCATGGAGTTGAACCTAAACCACATGCACTGATTAAACAGAGCAAATTACAAATACATCAGTTAGAAAGGTGAAAGAGAGCGTATTTGTATCATTATTTTGCAGTATAACCGTTAGTAAAACTAATCATGAATTAGGATTATTTATTTTCGTAACTATTGAAGGCATAATTTTTTATTTGGGAATATTAGCTGGTTCGGTAGTTACTGATGGGATTTAAGTCTCTCAGGCTGGGTTTTAACAAAGGTGTGCATATAAGGGTAAGCATGTAAGTTCAGGAATGACATGATTACATGGATACTTACAAATTTTGTAATTATGATCGACGTAATTGTGTAACAGTGATGAATACCACTCATTAATATGAGTAGATAAAACTCTTTACGCCAACCACTAGTGTTCCGGAAATCACTAGGCACCTGGACTTATTCTTCAAAAATATGAATTCCATAAAATAAATCCCAAAAACTCTCAAGCATGAACCGCTTATCAGGTATTATAATTTATAATAATAATAATAATAATAATGATTTACTTTATTCCAAAAACAGTACTTGTGATACAGATTGGAATTTTCAGCATTAATCACAACATTGCATCTAATTTCCTCAAATTATAAATAAAAATTAATCACACAGAAAAATTTCCACATTTACAATAGAGGTAGTGTCAAAAACATGCAGCATATAAAATGGAAATGGCAATAATAATGATAACAGCTAGGGTAGTAATAATAATAACAATACAAGTGAAAATTGCCGTTGGCTTGTGTCACACAGTATTGGCAATGTGGTATAGAAATCCTAACATGTTTAAAAATATTGAATATAATGTTCTTTCTACATGATATGGTGAAGGAAAAAAAAAATAGATTACAGCCGTCATGGAGATAAGTTGGTGTTTGTAATTGTGAGAGTAAAACAAAGAAGTAACAGGACCGTAAATATAATAGAAATAATAAAAGTAAAACTTGAAGGTATATAAGGATGGATGGATGGATGGATGGAGGAAATTGTTTATTTACTAGATGAAAAAAGGTTAGTTAATTCTTGCCTGACACTATTTTCACTACCACATGAAATACGTGACAAGTATGGTATCATAGAATTTCTATACTTAGACGTGTGAGCATACAGTTTTCTGAAGTTACTTCGTGTTCTACCTGAGGAGATGCTAGGTGAAAGCTGAGGGTAAAGTGGATGCTCCAAGTCAGACAAAATCCCTCTAGCAAATTTATTGCACGAAGTCAAGTGCCTATCGACAACGATGTTAACTATGTGGTCCACTGGGACACCACTCACCCTACTGACAGTCTTCAGTATTCTACGAATTGTGACATAGTCTTTTTTAAGCAAACCAGGAAAGAATAAGGGTGAGCAATAAAGAAGAATAGGTAGGATGCAAGAGTTTACGAACTGTAGGATGAGGGGTTGAGTTATACCCGAGTGTCTTAACTTCTTAATGTAAAATGTCAAGCGGAATATTTTATTGGAGATTGCTAAGACAATAGCTTCTTTTAATGTGAATATATATATATATATATATCCTATAAATGGTGAAAACTAATCGCATGTACAGATAATTTCAACTCTCAGTAACATGTATAATTTATTACAATTTTGATAAAAATTATTGTCTACTATCGTATCATTCAGTAGTATAAGTTTTTCAGCTTATGGAAGCGGAATACATTTTCATGTACAGGTAACAAAGTACATAGATTCATCACAACAAGTGACTATTTCATTCGTGTGGCATATGAAGTAATCTTTAAACCACTTCATCTATATTACATTTAACGGATATACTTTACCTTTTTTTCAAAACATTTATCCATTTTATTAAAGAAAATGAAATCTAGAGAGAGTAGTTGAAAAAAAAATACGTCGGAATTAAACAAAATGGTAAATTTACCTGTCTACTTACTACTTCTGATCTGCAGTCCAGTTACCAATACTCTGTTTGTTCATGAAATCGATTTTCTATTTGTGATCGCTTCGTTTTTAAGATTATACACATTGTGGCAACTTGATTTGATAAAAGCCTATAGAAAGCTTTCAGTTGACTTTAAAGAGCGTGATTATTACATGAAATAACCCTTAGTTTAATAAATCTGTGTTTAAACTGTAATTAGCGCAGTAGATAGTGTCATTAATGTAAGTGTAAGAATTTGGGCACGGTGTTAGAATGTAAATTTTTACATTATTGTGGTTATCAGTATCGCTATAGTTTCCTTGAATTCCTAGAGGAGCATAGGGCTTCAGCCACACGTATCCACTGCGTTCGGTTCTCTCCCAACGTTTTCATCTACCTCCACGTCTGTCCACATGCTTTCATCTCCTCTTCACATCACCTACTCCACGTCACCCTCGCACTGACGACCATTTGGGTTCCATTCGAGCGATGGTCTGGCGTGTGATGTTACTTAATGGTTTTCTCGCAGTATGGCCAATCCACTTCCACTTCTTTATGCATATTTG